CCCCAGCCCGGCCGCGCGCGGACACTGGACAACTGGACATGCGAGTCGCATGTGGGAGTCGGTTCCTCCCTCTGCCACTAGCCAGACCAGCCGACACCTGACCTGGGGACCAGCTCACTCTTGGTTATGGCGTTAAGGATTGCATTCAGCGCGCGGCTTTGGAGTCGGACCGAGCAAGCCAACCAATCAATATGAAGCCAGTCTGCTGCACAGCCGAACATGTGCATAGCCTGGGTCCAAGCCGGGATTGCGAGCTTTCTCTATCGGCCCAGCTGAGGGGTACATTACTTCGAGCAGTGGACAGTGCAGGGCCCGGACAAATCACGTTTCCAGTCACCTGCCAGTCGGGAAATCTCCCTCAGATGATTCAGTCAGTGTGTGAGCCAACTCCAGTCACTCATCTAATCACGTCCAGTCATTTTCCAGTTACCGTGTCAGATTTGACGACAATCAGAGTACAACCATTTCTGAAGTGATGTACCCCCCTCGGGCGCGGGCCAGCCCGAGGGCCAGCTCCGACTGCCTCCCAGGACCTGGGGGCCATGGGGCGAGCCCGAGATCGAGACGACCCGTGGCTGGAACGCGTCTCTGCGCTTCGGGGACCAGAGAGGGGAGGGCCCGCTCCTCCAGTTCCTCTGCAGACTTATCGGACTTCCGCAGGAGTCATAGTGACGAAGGGCGTTGTGTGCAAATGATGCGAGTGAGCGTGTGAAGCCCAAGTGCAGCGACACGCCACTCTCTGCTCCACACACCACGGGCCGTGCCACAGGCCGCTCTCAGTTTCTGGAAGCTTCCGGCCCGCGTGCATTCGATTAACTATCTCGCTTACCGCCGATGCGGAAAAGCTGGTCCGGTTTCAGGAGGCATGTGGTCAGTCACAGGCAGGGCAGGTAAATTATTATTCGCTAGTACCTTATTTCTTTCTTATCCGACTTGGCGTCAAACGTTTTCAGCTTTGCGCCCTTATTCTCCACTTTGCAATTTATATATCTCTCGCGCTCATCGCGATCTGGTTGGCGTGCGTCACAAGCGACCCATTTCACTTTGGTCGCCGCGGAAGTCGTCGACTTTAACTGGTAACGGGAAAGGCAGTCCCTTTAAACTCTGTAGCCACTTCAAAGTTGACATTCAAAGAATGCCCAATAAAATTTGATATAAGCTTATTGACTTTTCAAGACCACGCAACCCTACACCTCAGTTATCGAAGAAGCCCGAATGAAGCAGAGCGACGTAAGTCGGTGGCCTAGCACACCGGGTAATGTTTGCCCTGTGTCCAGTGGTTTAATGGCGGCGTTTAGAACTCTCGTCACCATCAGCCCCTGAGCCGGGCTGGGACACCGTCCCCGTCCCCGTTCTGTTTCATGTTTTATGGCAGTGAGGGCGCGCGCGCGACCACACGCACACACACACATGCGGAAAGACGCAAGGCTTCTTGCGTGCAGGCCGTTTGCCAGGGGGAGAAGGGTTTCTTTGGCTAACAGCCGCAGGCGTTCCCTTTTGCATGTCTCGTATTGGGGATCACACTAAAATACGGCAACGTTTGGGAAAATGGGAAGCCAAGCTGACGAGAAAGTATGAAACTTGCTCACCAAGACTTCAACGTGCCCTTAGTAACTTTAAGTAAAAAGGAGATCGCAATAACGTCATTGTGAGAACAACGGTTTTCTGGGGTTCAATAATTTCATTTTCACAGCCATTTGGACTTATTTTCAGCAGATGACACAAAAAACACACAACCCTAAAACTAACTAAACTAATCGAGTTGAATATGTCAGCGGCTGAAACTGTCAGATTGAGGAGGGAGAGTCAGCTACACTTGATAGCTTTCCACAAAGCCACAAGAGCTTGCCAGCGCCAGCCAAACCAGAGTGTGGCGCGCCGGCGCGGCGCAGTGCGCAGTCAACACTGTTGACATCAGAGGAAACGTATTTAAGACCAGCAACGGTTTACATGACCACCCCACGATTTCCCCCAAAATTTTACCACTTTTTCTAGACCACTATCTAAGACAT